GTACATTTTTGCACCTAACTCCATTTGTACGTTTAGCTGGCTGCAAAAATCCCTCGGTGGTACCAATCAGAAATTGATCATAAACAGAAAGATACTGGTTTGTACGACGCGATTTACGACTAGAATTTTCCACTTCCAAATGCGGCTGAATAGCTTTCTGGGCACCAATTATGACTATAAACAATCCAGTAAAAATCAGTGCTGTTCGGATGAAACACAGCCTACTAAAGGACCAAGCCAAAGTCGTTCTATGTCGAAAAAGCATCCCAAGCACACAGAAAGCTTATAAAATGACAACACAATAATTCAAAATGAAATACTGTACAGCGAATGGCTAGGCGGTTGGAAGTACAAAACATAGGTAAGTCAACCTTTGCACTACTAATGATTACTGAGAAATTCCTCTAAAGCAACTTCTTCCAGTCTTTCTCTCTCGGCATCAAACTGATCTTGTCGCCGGAATTCATCTAAAAATCACATCAACACAAAATTAACTACGTTGTATTCAAATCACATTCACTGATAAAGTAGCAGCAGAGAACGGGGTCTCGTATAAAAATGACTGTTACTGCCAGCTAAATATAACAATGCTGGCAGTGGTACCAAGCAATCAGCTTCAAAACTTTGAGTTATTCGAAAATAAAATGGAAGGTGCTCAATAAAAACTACAGTCAGCAAGGTCAAATTAGCTACATTGTTTAACAACTATTTCATTCTTAGTGGACAAGCAACGCAAGACCATCCTTTCGAAACTTGCACAACGGCCAAGTTTTCTGCACTAAGATGTTCCTTTTTGAATTATGCGCAAAAAAAAGAAAGCTGGGATTTTTTCCTTTTTTGATCTTAAGGCAGTGTTCTTTTTGACAATTAAAAATCAGTGCAAAATTCTCGCTGACACATTCATTTTTACGGAATAGCACTGCAGATAATTCCCCTTGAGACCGATGCAAATCTTCTGAAAAAAAAAAAAAAAAAGAGTGAAAACTTGCACTGGATACAAAGAAAATCTCAACCCAAAAAAACTGAGGCTGGAATGCATCAGGCTTGCCGGCGCCATCATACATTTTCGCACCGGAATTGAAGTACTCAGGCTTTAATCATCGTACATAAATCGTATATAAAAATATATTTAATATAAATCATCGTATAAAGAAAATGAACAATTGCCGTTTAACGGTCGTTCTTTGAAAAGAACTTAGCTTTCAGCGAGCAATTTTTCCGCTAAAACTTTCAAGCGCTGGACTTAAGAACCACACATATCTGAAGCTGAGTTTGAAATATCTAGGTTGCACTTGAACTGGAATTACCCTAAAATCTCAGCATTCCTGCTTTTCTCAAATTAGTAATTTTTCCGCTAAAACTTTCATGTGTCCGTACGTGAAAGCCACGCACACTTTGTAACTGTATTTGAAATCTTTAGCTCCCACATGCACAAAGAATATCCCTACAAAGTTTCAGCCCTCTATCCTTTCTAGTCTTCAAGATCGCTTTCCCGCAAAAAAAATTCACACATTTTTTTTTTTTTTGAAGCGCCCATACGTGGCACTGAGGCATACGCTAGTGATGAAACTTCTCAAAAAAAGTTGGGTAAAACAGTGCAACAGTACTTACCTCACTTCAGAAACTTTAAAAATTTATCAGCCGCGTTTTGAAACAGTCAGTCAGCACCGTTTAAAAATGACTTACCTTGGTTTAGAATCGATGAAGACAGGGCGGCACCGTCGGGTGAATTATTCTCAAACTTCAAAAAATGATTGATTCTTGTCTTCTCTTTTTTCAAGTCACTTTTCAAAGCGGTAATTTCTGCTTCCGTTCTGGCAACGATCCGTAGTGCCTCCAAATGTGTCATTGCTTGTTCGGTTTGTAAACAAAATCGATTAAGCTTATCGATCTTACGATTCAAATCACGCACTTCCTGCAAATTTATTCAGTCGATTTGCACTTTCTAACCATTTGGGACAGAGGGACGACAGAAAGGAAGTTCTCTCCTCACACTTTGCAGAAAAAGAATCGATAAATAGTTAGGAAGAGAAGAATCCCAATCTGTGAAGAAATGTTAAAAACTTAATGTCTTTGATGTACCATGCCACTTTATTGCTATTACTACGACATAGGTAAGGAAAAATTTACGACCTACTACCCATTCTGAAGAAGTTGTTGATTTAAATTATATCTGCCTCTGGAAAAAAAAATATGAGCACCATCATCTTCACAAAAAAAAAAAAAAAAAAAAAAA